GTTAATGAACATTTATAAGTAGAGCTCGTTAAGGCTTATTTTTTTAAAGTTCGATAAGCACTAAATGAATCGAATATGAATCAAACATGAACACTCATTAATTTAAATGAACCAAGCATGAAAACAAACAATAAAGCTCAAATCAAACATGAATCAAACTTGAACAAGCTCATAATAAATGAACTCGAACATAAACACTCACATAGTTGGCTTAGCTCGGTTCTTTTGCAACCATAATGTTGGGTCACTCTCAGGAGAAAAAATACTCCACCTAAAAATGATAGAGTTATAGGATCAATTTTTTATTGCTCATAACTTGGATCAAAGCTTATTGGAATCATTATTAATCTCATATTTCTTTGATTTGCAAAGCATCAAGATTGTTGGATATTGTTTTCATTGAGAAAAACACATTCATGCTAAATTTATCACATATCATCAATGTTTTCTAACGATGTTAAAATTATGCCATACACCTTTCCTAAATTATATTAGATTATGCTCCAGACATCACAAGCTCCATGTACTCTCCATTTGCTAATTTGTTGCTTTGTTGCAGCGATGTTACCACCATCAAATGCTGGTTGAGAGCCCAGGATAACTTCAGGCAAGTCACACCCATCATTTAATTCTAATGCCATAAAAGGAAAAAAATTATCAAATGAGGAAATAGTTTAGCTCATATAATTTAGGCTATCAATTTGATTGATTACAACATAAAAGTAAAAAAAAAAAAAAACTCACCTTAAAATTTATAAATAAGACATAATTTCTCACAATATATACATATTTCATAATGAAAATTTTAGATGCTTTAGAGAGTTTAAAAAATCTTAAACTTATTTAAACTTACAAAAGAGCATATCTTGTGTCAACCCAAAATGCCCTAAACTAAAAAATTTGAAATTTTAAAAAAATATGAAAAATTTGCCTATCAGAGCACTGCGACACTATGCTTTAAGGCACAATGGCACTTAGAAGGGCCAAAGACTATCACCTCGGCACCCGTGCACTATATTATAAAGTAATTTTAGAATGACATGCAACTTAGCGGCACTAGGTCACATGGGCGTCATGGTGCCAGACACTAAAATGAGTTGTCATGTGTATTTAATTCTAAATATCCTTGTCATCACCCCATTACCCTCTCATCATTTTGTTTGAGTACCAACGAAGGATTAAAGGGTGAGAAAGAAGTGAAGGGAGAGAGGAGAGAGGAAAGAGAAATGAGGACCTTCAGGGGCTTTTTTGTTTGTTGTCCAAATTATAAAAAATACTATGATCATTACAAGTGACATTTATTGTGCATCTATTTTCAATGATTCTTAGTTATGTATATTTTGTCTCTACATAAAGTGATAAAAAGTTAATATTCCCCGCTTACGTAAACTTTTGTTGTGTAATTTTTGATAAGTGATAGGTATGGTTATTATGTGCATTTTGAATGATTTATATTGAAGTTTGACCGAGTGATTTGAATGTTATGGCATTTTAGCTGAAAAATATAAAGAAAATGTTATCTATAAACTGGTCAGATAATAACGTATTGAATATGTAATATGCGCATGTTTATAGTTTATTTGATATGACATGCATTTGGTAGCATACATGCATGTGAATGGACACTAGTAAATTTACATGTTACGATGTAGTATGTCCACAATATGTTGTACTTGCACAAACAAGATGCTTGTAATCGTGCTATACTAATTAAGATATTGAAATAATATGCGCATATATAGGAGCAAATGAACTAAATGTACTAACAAGCTGTGTGAATTGAATGAGATTGATAATGATATGATGTGTACACAATGAGAATATAGAACTAATTATGCTGACCTGATTGTACTAGTGAAACTATTAATTTGAGCTGATACATATGATATATCTAATATATATGAAATAATGATAATGAACTAGAGTTTATGGCATGCATTTCATCATGATGTAATGATATAAGATTACAAGTTCATGTGATTCATGTGCATACATTGGAGATCTCTATTTTGTGAGTAGGTGAAATACCCTATGCTGGTGAAACATATGATTATGTGAAGCAATACACTTGTGCCTATGAGCATGTTTTTATGTATATAAGATATATTATATTAGCAAAAAGTCATGTTATGATGTTATATGTATGTTCAATATTAATGGGAGGCATAAGAGCCTGAATTTGGGAGTCATAAGGGCTTGGTCAGAGAAACTAGCTCATGCATCATCAGTAACATTGTAGTTCTATATGTAATAAAACTTAAAGCTAATAAGAATTGTATCTTATAATAAGTGCATTTATATTCTAAACAAGTATAATTATCAAACAAAATAATAAGGAAATTATCTATATGTAGCTATGACTAATGAATAAGAACTAATGAGTGATTATTGCTACAAGACTGATGACTACAAAGTGAGATGCGACATGTGATGAATAATAAAAACAAATCAAGTATATGATAAATCAAGCATATGATAAATAAGACAAACATATTATATAAAATACATCCGACATATGACATAGCCATGCTGTTATGATACTGACATGATGTATGATATGTAGTTGATATGATGCTGACTTGATAAATGATACATTTGATGTGATATAATGTATGATATGCAACTTATGATATATGATTGTAAATATGATACTAGTGTTTGGAAGTTATATATTGATTCCAGTTGTAGATATTGGTACTTATTGGGCTTTATGCTTATTATATGGATTTTTTACATATTTTCAGGTATAAATAAGAATACCGAAGAGTGATATGACCGTTGGCATACTTTCCTTTCTGGATCTTTTAGATTTTACATTTTTTGGTCATGATGTATTCTTATAATGAAGATTGAAATTAAACTTTAGTCATTTGTTGGTTCACTGCCTTAATGGGAGGTTGACATTAATCTATAAGGATTTATTGTACTTTATAATTAATCTAAAGATTGTTATTTCATGTTAGAGATCTTTCTAGATTCAACTTTTTTTTTTTTTGAAGATTTTGATAAAAAGAAGAGACAAAAAATACATTCATTCAAAAAGCTATCCAATTAATCATATTTTTTATATGAGTACTTAAATTAAAAACTTTCATAATTGACTTTAGGACTATCTAAACTCTATTTTTTAGCAAAAATATAGTCAAAAAGTGCATCCTTGTTAGACAAATCCAATGAGCAAAATGTTGCTTGGTTATGACGCCATTAAGTGCTCAAATGTTTTTGAAAACATCAAATCAAGGAGGTTCATTTAAAGACTTATGAAGGATTGCTTGAGATTTTCATAAAAATAATCAAAATATCACTCCTAAAATTTATAAATAGGCCTTCATTCCATACATGATGGTAACTTGAAATTGGAGAAAGCTTACATACTGAAGAATCATAGAGGTAACCCCACTGATCAATTTAGATGATTATCACCAACAAATTAACATTATCATTTGATTATCATTATTATCAACATCATGCCATCATCATTTGATTTCCATCACTTGACAACAATCACCAAATGTTTATCACCCATCAAATGTTAATTGACATTGACACAATTATCCCTCACTATTTCTCTTGTATTTTTCATTATTCTCACGGTAGGTTGAGCCAACAATCCAAACATTACAATCTCGCCTTCTCTAATTAAGGGGAAGAGCAATATTCATCTATATAGTGTATTATTTGAGGTAGATTATGCATCAAGATTTTTCTCTTAACTTTCTACAAAAAAAGGGCTTCTTGTGAGCATCTTATATATATATGTATATAAAAGATATATATATGTGTGTGTGTGTGTGTGTAGAGATCGGACCTCCATCTCCTACCGATTATGGTGCGTCCAACCTTCGTCACCTACTATGGTCCTTCTAACATTCATCAACAGACAACGATCTTTCTGACCCCGGTCTCCTGCTAACTACAGTCTTTTAGACCTCTATCTCCTACCGACTATGGTCCTTCCAATCTCCGTCTCTTACTATGGTTCTTCCGACCTCCATCAACAGACAACGGTCTTTCTGATCTCCGTCTCCTGCCAATTACGATCTTTCGGACCTCTGTCTCTTGCCTACTATGGTCCTTCTAATCTCCATTAACATATAACAATCTTTATGATCCCGGTCTCTTGCCAACTATGGTCTTTCGGACCTCTGTCTCCTGCCTATTATGATCATTCCGACCTCCATCACGAGATAACGGTCTTTCCGACCTCCATCCTATCGACTATGGTCGTGCCGACCAAATAAATATGTATATATTGTAACTCCCACAATGTAATGCGCTCTATATGATGTACATTTGTATCATCAAGCCAAGGCCTTCTCCCAAGGAAGGAGCTCATTTGAAATCGACTACAAATACTAGTGAATTAATTCAAATTGGACTAGGCCACGTGGTTTTTCCCCCTTTTCAAGGATTTCCACGTAAAAACTCTGGTGTCACTTATGAATGCTTCACCTGCTCTCTTATCTGATTGTGTGCTAGATCTTCATACAATGCTAAGACGTTAAACTATATTTCTCTACTGCCGTGAATACTCCAAGACGCAACAATATCTATTAGACATAATTTAGTTATAATGTTGTTAAAAATATTAATAACTTAAATAATAGTCACTTTTTCATAAATGCGATTAAAAATATTAACAAATATGAGTAAAACTGTTCTTTTAATTACAACTCTTTAAAAATTCGGCATAAAATTAATATTATGGAACCTTTAATTCAATATTATCTTATATTATTTAGATAGCTATATTATTATTAAATAAATGATATTAAAATAATTTATTCTGATTGTTTTTTATTATGTAGCCATCAATTAGATACCGTGTTATCATTTTAATACTGATACATTTGTCTGATGTTAAATATTATTTAAAAATATTACCAAATCAAATAATTGATCTTCAACTGATATTATCAATCAAAATAATTTCTAAGCCACATCTTTAAATAATGCGCGATTATATAGCTCATTTTATGATAACACTAAACTCCTCTCTCTCTCTCTCTCTATAGTCAAAACACCTAATCATTTGTTAAAAGAAATCTAAGTGAAGTTGTGGTTAAGATCCAATCTCTTCGAAATCCGCTCATACTCTCTCTCTCTCTCTCTCTCTCTCTCTCTCTCTCTCTCTCTCTTGCTCGCTCGCTCGCTCGCTCTCGCTCCCGGCCATGGCCTCCGGGGAGAAAACAATCTCGAAAGCAATAAACAATATTCCCATGCAGCCAAACGCACGTCGAATCTCATAACCCATACATCCATCAAAAGTTCTTTCCCTTCAAACAAATCATATCGCTGCACACACTGAAAGAATAGAGCGATCGATGCTTGCACTCTCACCCCTACCAAACTCCGGCGCTGAAGACAGAGAAGGCATCTGCGACGCCTTCCTCGGCGACGACTTCCTCGAAAACATCGATTTCAGCTGCATCTTCGAAGGCTTCGACGTCGATGGAGACCTCTTTCCCGCTGAGCTCCAACTCTCCGAACCTCAACGACGATTCTCGGCAGGAGGAGAGGACCAAGAGAAGAGCTCTTCACAGGAGAGGGAGGAGAAGAAAGATGAACTAACTTGTGCGAAGGCGACGGCAGTGAAACGCTCACATGGGAAGAAGAAAGTGAAGGTAAAAAAGATTGAAGATTGATGCACTTTTATTCAAAGTAAATGGATAAGAAGAGCTCTAATTGGGCAGTAGGAAAGGACAGGAGGTCACGAGAAGCATGAGAAGATGTGTAATATAAATATATTATATATGCACAGATACATATAAGGATGACCAGTTTGGATATTGGTGATTACAGGTGGATTGGACGCCGGATTTGCACCGGAGATTTGTGCAGGCGGTGGAGCAGTTGGGACTGGACAAAGCTGTGCCTTCGAGGATATTGGAAATTATGGGAATTCACAACCTTACAAGGCACAACGTTGCTAGCCATCTACAAGTACTGTTTTTTTAAATTTTTTTCTTTATTACAAAAACTATATATTATAAATTGTTAAGGAGTAATTAATCAGTCATTTTGAAATCCTATAGATTCATTCACTATGTTTAATTTTATTTCTTTTAGATTATAATTGAGCTTTCAATTTTGTCATCAGCCATGGAATTCCTTGGATGGATTCTCTGACCTTTTTCTTTCATTTTTCTTAAATTTAGCCATAATTGTTCTCTTAAAAAAATACTAATTCTATAATCCTTATTTAATTTGTTGCAAAAAAAACTATATCATTCAAAGTTTTGAAGTTCTAAAGAACAATAACGGTAATAAATTCTCAACACATGAAGTTATTCGTGTGGCATGCTATATATATATATATATATATACATGCGAAGGTGTGTATGAAAGAGGAAGGGACAACCTTATTGAATTCAAAACTGAATGTGAAAGGATTCCAAGACCTTACTAGACAAATGAATCAAAGTTCAAAAAAATAAGAAAAATTAAGAGAGAAAAACTATGCCACAATTAGTCTCTTAGATAATTGCTTCAACGAGCTTGATGAACTCTTATGAATAGAGCAAATAAGAAAGAGATTTGGTAGAAACTTTCAGTAATATTTTATATTATCTTGTCATGCTATGGCTAACTATGTGCTCTAGGGAGTTTGCCCTAAAGTTAGAGGAATTTCAAGAAAATTATTAACAACCAACTATTTGAATGGAAGCCCTAGCCCAACATGAAAATTACTCTCAATGAACTAGCCTATGAGTTAATTGGGTGAATAGCTATAACTACAAGACTTTGGATTCCTTTGAGACTACTTTCTTATTATTTCTTAAGAAGTAGAAAAAAAGCCGTCCCAAACGACGCCTTTATCAAAGCACATTTAAATGAAAATTACTCTCAGACAACTGCTTCACATCTAAAATCTCACATTTAAATGAATATTAATTTATCAGTTTCTTCTGTGAAGAATTTTTAAACGGAGTAATCCTAATGCTGTTCATGAAATCATAATCATCTCATAATCTGATCACGCAGAAATATCGAACTCACCGCAAGCATTTGCTTGCACGAGAGGCAGAGGCTGCAAGCTGGAGCCAGCGGAGGCTAATATACAACGCAAAGAACGTTAAAAAGAAAGAAAATAAGCCATGGATTTCCCCAAGCATAGGCTTCCCTCCTTCACAATTCCGACCGTTGCATGTATGGGGCCATCCGACCCTCGACGGACCACCAATGGTTCATCCATGGCCGCCTCGGCCACCAAACTATATAGCCTATTGGCAACCTCATTACCAAAGAGTAGTCTCTCTCTCTCTCTCAAATTCCCTTATTCTTCCGTCTTTTCTTACTTTCACGTGAATGATAAGCTTATTTGTCCTGTAACTTTTGTAGGGCGCAGCAGAAGGATGGGGACCAAGTGCAGTCATCTCAGCACCTCATTTCATGCCTCATCCATTGCCTGTAATGGTATGTGCATTCTATTTTCCTTTTCGTTCAGCTTTTTGTTTGACTGAATCGTTTATGTTTTTTTATTCAAAATTTTCATAAGATTGGTGCGAAAAATAAATAATATGTGTTGCTTTTATCTCAAAATAAATTTAGAGTCCATTTTAATAAAAAATTTGGCAAGGACATACTAACCAATTTTTTTCTTTGAATAATTCATCCAAAAAGATTGAATATTGCACATGTTTAATAAACATACTTTTTTTTATATGGTGTGATTAAATATTAGTTTTTAGCTCTATTTAAAAAATTTAGGAAATGATATTTTAATCACCATTTTAATTAGATAAAATGAATTTATGGCTACTTTTTTTAGGTAAAGAAGGTGCATATATAAACAATTTAACCATTTTTTAATTGATTATTAAATCATCTATGTACTTATATGACTTTGATTTAGGCTTCTTTTGGAACGGTTTTCTTAGATAGATCTCATGACCCTCTCCTCCTGACGTAAAGAAAGTAAGTTTTTAAAACTGTTGTGGAAAGCAGCTTAGTACAAATATTTTTTGAAAGCAACAAAAAATCACGGTCAAATAGATATTGTGATTGTGGTTAGAAAAATAAAATAGTAAGAAAGTTGTTTCAAATGAAACCTTAGTTGTTCTCACCATTACTCATGATTCGAACATTATCAAATTGATCCCTACATTATTTTTCGTTCTTAAAAATATCAAATGTATATTTTATTCAACTTTCTATTAAGCATATGTCCCCTCCAAAGATTCTTTCTAAATTTTGTTTAACTGGTCTTATTCTTTTTCAAACATATGGAATAGAACTCTATCGTATTATATAAATATAGTCATATGAGCGACAAATTAAGATATTTCATTCAATTATTCTTTTAAAAATAATTAGAAATTAAATTCTTTTCAGATATTTTTAATATTATGTGTCAACTTATATGAAGTTCTTCTGTTGATTTTCATGTAAAAACGCTGAACTGTTTTGATAAAAACTGAAACGAATGCAGAGATTTGCACCACCACCAGTAGCAGGAGTTCCTCAACCAATCTATAGACCTCAGCATTGGGTTTCTCCGTTGAAGACGCAGTCGAATTTGCAGCCTGAACATGCTCATTATCCAGTAAGAAACACTCATACTTGCTCTTCATTCAGTTCCTCGTTTTTATTTATATAATTTATAAACTAGTTAATACAAAGCATCGGACTTCTGATGACCCGATTAGGAGAGTAAATATTTTAGATCTAGCATAACTTAAGAAAGATAGATGTACACCTAAAAGACTTAGTTTGAAAGTATTAAAAATGACATTTATTTATTAGATTTAAATAAGACAATAGAGAAAAAAGATTCATATTGTTGCCAAATGTTGTAAATAATAGAAGAGTTGTAAGACAATTGTAATTAGAAAACTTATCAAATAAATAGATCGAGGCGTGCAAAGCATTGTTCTTAATGTTAGATTTATGCGCGCCACTCCCAAGTGAAAAGGTACACATCGGTCTAACTCCCAAAATTTAACGAACTCTTCAAAGTGATTAGCACTATTCACAGTGGAAAGTAGGAATAACAATGTAGATATTTGCTCTGAACATATGTATGGTGGAGAAAATGATGAAAATAATTTTTTTTTTCATTATACCCAAGAATGCCTTATATATATATATATATATCAGAAATAGATGATCATTTTAATTACAAATGTTATGATAATTAATTAAAAAGTTTTCAAATCAGGTCATACAATAGTAATAAGTATTTTCATTACAAAAACGATAAGTATTTCCGTTACAATATAATAATTATTTTCGTTACTACAACAATAAGTATTTCTATTACAACACTAATAATTATTTCAGTTACAATAATAATTATTATTTCAGTTCCAATAGTAATAATTATTTCAGTTGCAACAGTAATAATTATTTATGTTACAAATTTTCTTTTGCAAAATATAAAATATAACAATCCCCCACATTTTCAAAAAAAAAGTAAAATTTAGAATAAGAATTTGTTCACAACAAAAGATAAAATACATAAACATTAGTGCCTTAGAGATAGTATCTCATCATTTAGCAATTGTTTCACAATATTATATCATAGACGAATTTGCCTGCTCTTCCCATTATATATTTTATTTTTAGCTCTAGTTATTGCCACTTGACAATTACAATGTAGACACACCGATGAGATATTTCGCTAAAAATTTGGAATATTGGCTAAGAGATTTCTTAGCCATTCTACTTCTCCTACTTTTTCTAAAGCAATGAATTCTAATTCCATAGTGGATCGAGCTATACAAATCAGTTTAGAAGACTTCCAAGATATAGCTCCACCACCCAAAGTAAAAAATATATTAATTAGTAGATTTTGTTTCATCAGAACTAGAGACTCAGTTAGCATCACTAAATCCTTTAAAAATAAAAGTGCTAAATTAGAAGTTCATTTTAAATATTTAAGTATTCTCACTAAAATAGTACAATGATCTTTATTAGAATTATGAGTATATTTACTAAACCTATGTACAATATAAGCAATATTAGACCTAGTACAATTCATAAAATACATAAGACTACCTATAATATGAACATACTCAAATTGAGATACACTTTTACCCAAATTTATAATTATTAGGAGTACTAACATGTATATAATTAAAATGTCCAAACCTCCTCAATATTTTTTCTACAAAGAGTACGCGATATTGAGAAATTATAATTCCATCAATTCATTTTCCTTTGTTTATTCTTAATATTACTTCTGCTTCTCATAAATCCTTCATATCAAATTTTGAAGATAGAAAAAATTTAGTTTTTGCAATTTTAGAAATATTATATCTTAAAATAAGTATATCATCTATATAAATACAAATAATTAATCCTAATTTTGGACTATCAAATTTATAATAAATACAAGTATTAGCTTCATTAATCTTATAATCATTAGATATTAATATACTATGAAGCTTCTCATGCCACATTTTTTGAGCTTGTTTTAGTTTATATAAAGACTTAACCAAGTTACAAATTAACTTTCTTTTCAATTCCAGATTCTATGAAAATCTATTGGAAAAATGCCATTTTTCAACATCCATTTCAGTCGAAAAATGACTAAAATCCATCAGAAATTCAGAAACTAGTATCTAGGATAGATTTTTTACGGGAACAGATTTGAGTGTTTTTGTTTTTTTTTTCAATTTTTCCTATAGGAATGCCGCAAAAATATTACCAGTTGATTATTTTCACTCGGAATATGGTGGATTATTTTGAGTTTAGGTAGACTTAGGGATTTTTCGATGGGGGTTGTGTTTACCGGTGATAAAATTTTCGTAAAG